AAAGATGGAATATCCAAGTAGGTCACCTGACCTGAATCCCCTCAATTACCCGGTTCGGGCGGAGTTCAATAGGGTGGTCTACGGTGGCGGAGAAATCGACTATCTCGCTGATCTCAGGCACCACATCGCGGTCGCGTGCCAGAATCTCTCGATGGCGCTCGTCCAGAAGGCTGTGGCGGAGTGTCATGATAGTATTTGATATGCTCTTTAATATGGTGGTAAAAATGTCCGATCAGAATTTAATAAAGTGTAACTTATAGCGCCTCGAAAGTCAATGAAGAAAAGTGACTTTTTTTGCCCCCCCCTGTACATGTCAGTGTTGATATCCTCCCAGTCGAATCTACCAATACCGATTTCGTCCTATGCGGGGAGGGGGGGGGGGCAGAAGGCATGGTTGGCCTGGCGGGGGCCGATCCGTGGTTTGATCCCGGCGCGTGGTAAGCATGGCTTTTCTACTTACCACACCTTCTTTGTATCGTTGGCGTCGCAAGAAGTCGTTATGCTTATAATGTTTTCGGTAGCTGCATTTAGTAGTTGATTGGTGATGAGCCAGCCTTTCTGCTCAAGGTATTTTTTTTGGAAATAAAATTGGGAACTTTCGAAAATTGGGAGCACTTGTACGAAGTTGGGGAAATTTAGGAAAATGATATGCAGGATGGGGAAAGGGGTCGTACTGCAAGAGAAACTGCTGAGATGTCTTGCTGGCACCTTTACTTCACACCAGCAGCTGTGCCCGCCCACCCAAAATCTTCAGATACATAATAACAGTTTTGGTTATTATTGACATGATATCTCGCAGTTTTTTTCTTAGTCATCACAAGTCATCAAAATTACACGGCAATCAAAGTGGACAGGGGGAATCTGTTAAAGACTGGCTGTAGAGCTTGAAATGATAAATTTAAAGACAGCCCCGCGCTCAAGTAGTACATGGTCGTCCTTCTTTGTGCAAGTAGTCCAGCCCCAAGCTAGAGACTGTCCCACTCTCGCGACTCCACAGTGAGCGAGGAGCGAGCTACAGCCGCTCAAAGTTCTAGTTCTAACGCCCGCCCAGTTGGACCGCCCACTTGCTAGATGCCCTCTGACGGAGAGCCGCTCAGTTGTTCTTTGTTGGGCGGCGGGCATTAATCGGAAATGCATGTCCTTTCTGCTGACCGCGCTCATGCCCATGAATGTCTGCTTTCCTTTATTACATTTTTATTCAATGGGCAGCACAATAGCACGTCAACTGGCTCATACCCATCTCGCGGTAAAACACTTAAAATCACGAATGATAATTTGTGTGCAAAAGCTCGCATGCACTAAAACCGCAACACGGTGCACGTAACCCCCAACTCACCGGCATGACGGAAGCCTGGCCCGTCGAATTCGTCACGCACCAAGTTTTCAAACTTTTCCTTTTTTTTAGAGTTCTTGTGCGTGTTTTTGCTTTTCATGCTCTCTTTCACCGCAGGGCGGTGTGAGTTTATGGTGTTCTTGAGGTCTCTTGTTGCTTTTTTTTCCTCGTTGAAGAATGTTACTTATGCAGCTAGCTGATAAGCGAATAGCGAACTACGTGCGCTTGAAGGCTTATCGCGGGAGCTGTCTTTGTGAGGCTGTTGCCGGAATTTTTACTCATGGCAACCAGCATTTGTCATTCTTTTTTGACTGCTGAAACCCAGTCCCGGGAATACTTGCAGAAAAGATGGATGATCGGAAGCGTGTTGCCTTGACCATCAATTCTGATTCTATGAGGAGTGCAGCTGGCTCACAGATGTCCATAAAGGGAGCAGATTGCTGGGAACATACTTCAAATCCTAAACCATTATTATACCATCTTTTGACTTCACAAGTAAAAACCATTATTATACGATCTTTTGATTTCACACAAGTAAGAGTGCCTCAGGGAACATCAGTACGTAAAGCTCCTGCTGGAGGTTGGTCTGTTTCTGCAGCCAGTGTGGATAGGCATGGTTGGTGATTGGTGGGATCGGAACTTCACACCAGGACCTGAGACGGCGTTCAGACTTCGTGATCGGATCGCTCGACTGGATCGTGCTATTCAATCCAGCGATCTCATCGCGTAGTCTGAACGCTGTCTAATTTTCGTGCGAGTGCTGAACTCAAGGTACAGCATCGGGATGGGTAAGGGTAAAGCATCGAGATGTGTAAAATGACGGTGTTAGAACGATGTTTCAAATTTCCTTCTTACTACCCCCTCCCTTCACAACCTACCTGCGCTCTCACGCTCCCACCAATTTTCCCCCAAAATTTGCCATGGGAGCGAGGGTAGAGGAGCCATGGAGGAAGAAAAGCGAACACGGATCTCTTGGTGAACATCCGGCTAGGTTCAGTCGTCCATTATGAGTTGTCGTCGAATGAAATTGATTATGGTTGGCGTGAAAATTATAGATGAGTATTACATCTGGACAGAATGTGGTGCCAAACGTGGTGAAGTGAACCCTACGCGTAGCCTTGGTGTAGCAGATTAAATCAGAAGTCCAAAATGAAGAAGCACAGAGTCCCCTTGAGCTTGTTCCCAGTGGGCGGAACTTGTCCAAAGTGGGTGGAGGTTCATGCAGAGGCTGATTTGATTGATGAGTTGATTCGTGAAAAAAACTCATCTGCCTCCGTCTGTACAGCCAGAATTTATTCAAGACGGGCTTACAGAAAACTGTTACTTTGTTGTCAACCTGTGAACTATCAAGATTCAAGAAGGGATGACCTGAGAAAGCAAGAGCTCGGCTGAGATCTGTAGCGCTGGGGAGTGCATGGTAGAAATAAAGGTGTGCGAATTTGTACGGCCAGTTGATAACTGTAGTTTTGCATACTTATGAACAGAGAGTCTTGAATCACAGGTAATGCTGGTGTTCATTTATCTGCCATGACTTTGAAAGCGCGTTCAGACCTCGCCAGATGCACATCCTGCGATGCGATTGAATTGCGCGACCATGACACGGAAGCGCTCCCACCGCCAGTCCGCGTTCACACAGTGCCCAAGCTTGAATTGTGGCGCGTCTGGCGGTGGCAGCCTTTGTGGCTGGAGGCGCTCGCGTCGTAGTCACGTCTGAGCGATCTTCGATCGCGAAAGTCTAAATGGGGGTGGCGGATCCTGAGATGCTAGGTCGTATCTTTACTGGTGTTCATTCTCTCTCTGCTTGTATGGACAACTCCGTAACAGTAAACTTGTTTTCAATTTCAGAAGTAAAGGCATTTGTCCTGTTCAGGGCTGTGATGTCGGGTACTTGCGGTCCCAAGGCCTCTGGAATCACAGTCGCTATGCGATTCCGCAATTTCCCTGTAAGTTTGTCACTCGCTTTTTATGTAGTCTTCAGATGTAAAGTTAAAATGGATTGAAAATATTTAAGGCTGCGATGGACGAAAAATACGTCACACAAGTGTGGGAAATGTTGAAGAAAGCCATTCAAGAGATCCAGAGAAAGAATAATTCCGGTCTGAGTTTTGAGGAGCTGTACAGAAACGCATACGAACAGATGGTCGCAGCAAAAAATTTACCCCATCATCTTTACATAGGTGTGGTCACTCATTCGTTTATTCTGTTACATGGCAGGGGACGGCAGATAGGTTCGGGTTTTGGTTCTGCTAGAGTTTGATAGCTTGCGTTTTCTTGCACCGTTTTAGCATTTTAAACAGAGCGTGCATTTGGATTGTTAGTTGATGACAGAATGCCTTGTGTATTGATGTCAATACACGTTCTCCAATCCCCTTTTAAGTTCTCAAATATATAAATCGTTCATAAAAAACGTTGGCTGTGGCTGATTGACATTATATATTTTTGACCTGAAATGAGTTGAGCTGTAGCTTTCTCTCCTCCCCTTCCCCTTAATCCAAGTAGTAAGCAGGATTCGGAATTTCCAGTCGCTCTTGCTGAGAAATGTGTTACTATCAGTATTGATTACGTGATCTCAATACGTAATCGGTGACCTTTTCTAGGTGCTGCACAAGTACGGCGAAAGGCTATACACTGGGCTAAAGCAAGTTGTAGAAGATCATTTAAGAAATTACGTGAGTAAATTTTTCAAACGTTTTTTTTTCCAAATCCAATTCTTTCACACTTTATGCTTTACATTTCCAGGTTCGGGTTAAAATTGTGGATTCATTGGATACAGGAAATTTTTTGGAGGTTCTCAATGAAGCATGGAGTGATCACACAACTGCAATGGTAATCTTTTTTGCAGTGAGCTGTAGATGTTCTTACACGTCCGTGTATACGAGATGACTGGCTGAACTTCAATATTTTTCAGGTAATGATACGTGATATTTTGATGTACATGGATCGTGTGTATGTAGAGCAAAACAAAGTTGAGCAGGTGTTTCACCTAGGGTTGGCAATCTTCCGGTTCGTTTTTGCTTTTTTTAGCATTATTTGATGTACATGATCGATTAGATCGCGTTCATAGTTTGCGACTGAGGACATTCGGTGATTTGAAGAGACGTGGTGATCGCCCGAAACGCCTGATCGCCGAATCTCCGCAATCGCTAGTGATCGATAGTCATCCACTCCTTTAGCGCGTGATCGCTGAAAACGCCGGGTCTTTCAAATTGTCGGCTCCCTCAGCCGCAAAGTATGAACGCGGCCTCATAATCGCAGATAAATTACTGAGTCACTTTTCAGCGATCAAGTCCTTTACCAAGATTTTATACATCTCCATCTGCGAACTACAATGTTGTCACTTATCCAGCAGGAGCGACGTGGAGCCGTTGTGAACTGGTATGCTTGACTTTATTTTGTTTTTGTATTCTTTTTGTTGGCTGGTTATTGATGCGTTATTCTGCTACCGTATTTGCTGGAGTATAAGGCGCAGCTTCGCTTTGAATGCCGCAGACGTTTCATCTTCACTTTACTTTTGCGTGTTTTTTGTCTATTTTCACCCATTTTTCATTCTTCTCATTCTATTAGTGATCTATCCAGTAAGGGGTGTTCCGAAACCAATTGAAAGGCCAAGCTTTGCAAAAAAGACAGGAAATTTGTTGCTTTGTTCGCCAACGTTTCTTGCGCGTTGTCGCGTGCAACTTTGCAATGGGCCTCGTGCCCCAGAAAATAAGGTATTATTATTGTATCTAGATGTACTATATTTGTTGATTGATTGTGATGTCAACTTCGTTTGTGATATGATTTTTGCTGTTGCTTTTAGGACTGGTATAAAGAGTGCTTGCCAAATGTTAGTTGCCCTTGGCATTCACTCTCATGATGTTTACGTGGATGAATTCGAGACGCCGTTTCTTGTATCAACCGCTGAATATTACCGATGTCTGAGCATTTGCTTCCTGCAGTCAAACAGTGCTAGTCTATATGTGAAGAAGGTGGGATGTTATATATCACATTGACGACAATATAAACCAGCGTAGGTTCATGCACGCTTGTAGGGCGATGTGGACCTCCAGTGGCTTTTCGTACTACTCTCTGGGTTGTTGCCATTGGTTTTATTGTTGTTTTTTTCCTTTCTTTTTTTTGTGATTGATTGAATGTCCTAGCAGCAAACCAACAAGAAATTACTGATGCTTTCATGAGGTATTTCAGATGAAAAAGATGGAAACTGTACAAATTCGTATATTGCTCGGAACTTGCTGCAAAAAAGTAGCCCTTTGGGTATTTCCTCTAATTGAAGGGGTGTTCAATGTATGTCTCGGTATAGGTATGAAGGAAAAGGTAGAAGATTTGAATAAAATTTTTTTTTCAGTTGAGTCAGACCATGTCAATAGCCTCTATAATATATACTCCGCTTGTCCCAAAATGTGCGTTAATCGCCGCCTTCAGGTCAGAAAAAGCTGTGTGTTGCACCAGAATTCTTTTATTTTGTTTTGATAAAGAAGTAATCGCTAGTCCATTTTTCATTATTTTTATTTTTTTTTTTTTTTTTCATTATTTTCATTTTTCCCAATTTCTTTTGAATCGTCATTCATTTTCTCATCATTGTCGCATCAGTCATTCTCATTCTTTCACCGAGGATAACTAGAAGAGCAGGTAAATTAAATGAAATTTTTGTATTTATTTCAGAGTGAGTGTCGCTATTTATTGAAGGTGATTCAAATTGCTTGCCACTGCTAAATTACTCCGGTACCGAGAAAACTTCGAGCGGCCCTTGTATTAGTTCAATTAGCACTTGATAATTTCATTCATCTACCCTCAGGAAACTGCTTCCATGGGATAATCTTGGAGTGTTGCAATTTTGGACTTAGGAGTTGCAATCGGAGAGTTTAGGCGTTGTTCGCAGAACGTCTGCGAGCACCTTGACGCCAAATTTTCGAACTAAATTTTTGGATCAGTAAAGGACATTCGCAACTACGGAAGGTAAACCGGCTAGTGATGACTAGGACTAGTCCCCTTCTTTTGCACAGCTTCTCATTTCCATTCTCATAGAACTACGGCAACTGTGATAAAAAGAAGAGGTGGACCTCATTCTCGAGTTGAGGTCGATTTTCGGAATTTTTGCTTTCTAAAGGATGCGATAGGGACCAAAGGAGGTGATAATTAGAGGCTGCTAACTTTGTTAAATAACCTGGGTACGGTAGCATTCTCCGATCGAAATCCATGATCTTTTGTCGTAGCCTGATCCCTACATGCGGTCCTCGCATTACCGAGTAGTAGAGAAAAATTGAGTATTTCTGAATGAATTCAAGCGTGACGTCATCCATATTTTGAAGTCGATTAAGGTGGACTGTGGTCCTTACAACGGTGCTGGTATCCAGTGATACCGCTTTGAAGTCCCACCAATAACACACTGAAATCTTTATCCCATGCACATCTGTTTGGCTAAGCAATTTACTTTTTCTGTTAGGAGATGCGTTGCGAGTGACATGGTGCTGAATGTACGCAAGGACTCCAACACTCGCTACCAACCACAAGATCTCCCAAAAGTTCTTTCGCTGTGTACAAGGAAAAGAAAACTCAGTCACGGTCATTCGGTATGACTTGTCAGACGGGTCCAACTCATGAGGCATCCTTTCGCAATAAATTTTTTCCGTAATCCGGATTAGCGGAGAAAGCATCGGCAGTTGTCAGTAAAGGTGGAGGCCTAAAGAGAGTTCGCTCACTTTACGCGATGGTTACGCTTCGCTGCCTCAAGAAGCTTGAATAAAGGGCCGTCACTCTGTGCTGATGGGCGACCTATACATTGCCTAACTACGAGTTAAATAAGTCCAGCCTAGAGGCGCTGATGCAAAGCTTAGCCGTATGGCCATTGAGCAAGCGTATATCCTTCTCCAAAGACAACGTAGCGTGTCGCCTCTTCCTCGACTACGGCGGAGTGGCCCTAGAGGAACTCATAATATGGGACAGGTCGAGAAGTACCTCGATCTCTGGGGGACTTTTAAGCTTTGAAAACTTCCTTCAAAGTATGATATAGATCATGTGCAGAAAGCCCAGAGGACACTCTGCCACCTCGATCAGTGTATAACTCCAAATGATTTTTTGGCCTATTTCTGAACCAATTCATATCAGAGTGTCGCGGACTTCTCGACAACCTAGTATGTATTGTGTTGATAAATAAGTCCTGTGGAAAAAAATCAGCAATGATCCAGCGCTATCGTCAACGCAGGTGGTCCTTTTGATCGCAATGGACTTTCTGAACGTGTTGTCGAAGGCGAAGAAGCGTGAAAATGGTAGGAAAGTGGTGATTACTCGTAGGTAAAGCAATCTTGAGACGAACGTCTGCTGAGAGAGGGGCTATTTGCTGGAGCGATTTTATTTATTGGAATTGTAGAACTCTTCCTAATGAGAAAATATGAAGGCTTCTAGCTAGTGGTTGGTAATGGGGCATATTGGCGCAATTTTCCTCAATCATGATTGCTCGCATGTCCGTAATTCTAGAAAAATGTTAAAAGTCAATTGAACGATGAGAAATCAAAAGTTATTTGTTGGCTCTGCAGTGAAATCTGACCTATTGAGTTAATCAGCTCAACTTTTAGGTGGAACAATGTATTCGAGAAGAATCAGAAAGGGCAAAACGATATTTGGATCCGCAAACGGAAGGCAAAGTACTTGATGTGAGTTTTTTTCAAATATTTCGAACTTTACTTTTTTGCCCCTTTTTCCCCCATATTTTTTTGTTTTAGGTGTTAGAGAATGTCTTAATCAAGGAACATATGTACACAATAGTCAGTATGGAAAACAGTGGTGTACACGCGATGCTGGGCAACGACGAAGTGAGTTATATATCTTACCGATACTAACTTGCTTTATCAGATCGTCAGTTAACAATTTCACGAACTTTCCAAATGTCTTGCAGTATCTAAGTGAACTGGAGTAAAATTCTGAGCCCAGCATAAAATTAAATGAGTATTCGGTTTCCATACAACTATGGCGCAAGTGTAGGCACATGAAGACCACCGCTGTGACCTTCACTGTGACCAAGGTGAAGTCTCTCTCAGGGAGTCATATTTGGACGCTGAAAGAAAGGAGATTTACTGGGCGGGATGCAAATTTTCTTGGTTGCTACAGGTCCTCGTTTCCGCCCCACTCTCAGTTATTAATTGACAGGTTTGTTGTCCCCATCCGCTCGACGTATACCAGAGCGGGATCGTATTTGAACACAACTAACAAATTCTGTGGTCGTAATTTTGCGCTATATCCTCTACCTCCTTGCTTGATTCGGTGGCGTGGCTATTTCACTATTTCTAGTATTCGATCAAAGGTGAATCCTCGTTACCGGAGATATTCCTTAAATTATTTCTTCTAGCTACAGTACAGTAATCTGAATG